GAGCCTCAGGTTTGTCTCTTGCAGGCCAGGTTTGGCAAGGTGTTCTACAGTACTATGCCCTGCTCTCACAGATGATCTTTAACAATAAGCAAGAACTCCAGGTTTGCACCTTTGATACAAAGGGATTTAAAAATAACCCTACCTGGGATCAAACATAAACAGGGTAACTATTGCTCAGCTGTCCCTCTTCTGTTCTGTTTTCCTTTTAAGCCATGAAGAAAATGACATTCAACACCAGAGCTGCCTCTTGTGTCATCTTCCTCTGTGAGCACAAACACCCTTTGCCGCCCAATCACCTGAGAATAGCATGGCTGCCACCTGAACTGTGCCAGGCAAGGGACAGTTGGATTGGCTGAGACTGGGGCCCAGCCAGCCCTCCAATCACAGAAGAAGAAAGCTCTCAGATAAACACCACATGATTTAGTTCCATCTGAGCTAGGAGACATGGTTTTTACAGATACTAATTGTGGCAGCAGCTTGGCATGTATATTAGCGCAGTAAACCTCACGCGTGTCCAGCCCCAGGCTGGCACCTGTGCTATTCTCCTCCCTTTCTTTTCTCTTTCCTTGATATCTCAGTCTCGCTACTTACAGTGACTTCTCCCTCTTCTTTCTGGTGAGTTTATAAACCTCACCATCTGGGCCCATTGATTCCGGTCAATGAACAGATAGAATTTGCGTGTATATATGTGTGGACATATGTGGATATGTTCGAGTGTTCTGTCCTCTGGAATGGCATGACAATTAAGGATAGAAATGGCAGAAGGCCTCATTTATGACAGACAGTGTGGAAATGTATGTGCGAAAGCAATCCAGGTGATTCCCTGCTTTCAAATAGCTGATGATTGGTGGTATGGGTTAAGAAAGATAAGAAAAGGGACAAAAGAAATTTATGTGAACAACTAGCCTTGAGAAAGCATCAGCAGAATGAGGTACAGGCTGTGTGTAATGAGGCAGTAGATGTTTTAATTCTGACAGGAGATCTAGACAGAATCATATTTCCTTCAAGATTACTTTCAGTTTCACCTAAAAACAGAACACTTAGTACTAAATATTAAATGTAATTATGAGTAAGTGAACTCATAATTGCATTTAGTACTTATTTAAGATATCTTAGAGCTAAGTAGTTGCAGAGATTGTTCAATGACTTGGTTATTTTTGCATGCTTTTTCTTTCCTTCATTGTCATTCTGTGTTGCTGGATTCTTGTTCCCATGCTTTGTGGTCTCAAGATGGCTGCTATAGTTCCAGTCATCATATGAGTATCCCAAGCTTAAAGGAAGGAGCAAAGACAAGATAGCTCCTTTTCATTAAGCTGTAGATTTATATTTTTTAAGAAAAGAAAATCTTTCCTGTATTCATCAAGAATCTTTTCTTTTCCTTCTTTTTTTTTTTTTTGTCTTTTTGAGGCAGGGTCTAACTATGCAGTTCAGGCTGGCCTTGAGCTCACTTTGCAGCCCAGGCTGGTCTCAAACTCACAGCGATCCTCCTACCTCACCTTCCCAAGTACTGGAATTATAGGCGAGCGCCACCAGGCCCAGCAAGAATCTTTTCTTTATATTTTTGTGCTTGTCTGTTCAGGTTGCTATAACAAAATACTTTAGACTGCAAAATTTATAAACTACAGAAATGTACCACTGGGAAGGGAAGCTTGGAACTCCAAAGTCCAGGTGAGGGCAGTTTTAGTATCTGATAGGGGCCTGTTTCCTGGTTCATAGACTATGTCTTCTTGCTGTAGCCTGGTGCAGGGGAAGGGTAGGGCAGCTCTGTAGGACTTCTTTTACAAAGGCACTAATGCTATGCATGAGAACTCTGTCCTCAGGAACTAATCACCTCCCAGGCAGCCCACCTTCTAGTGGCATCAGCTCAGTGATTAAGCTGCAACATATGATTTGGAGGTGGCACTCACACTCATTACACAGTAGTGGAACACATCCATCCCGGGCGGGGGGTGGGGTCAGCCTATTGCAACTGAGATTCTGTGAGCAGGGTGAGAAGCAGTCTCAGAAAGGTCAGTCAGGGACTTCTGTCCAAACCTTCCTCCAGTACTTGCAAGACAGAATTCTTTCCCCACCTGACCCTGCGACGACCCTGGTAAGCATCCTGTACGGCCACTGGCCTTGCAGGGGGCCCTGCAGGAACCTTCAACTCTGTCACCACGACACGACACCGCTTCCTCCACTCTGGCTTCTGTGCGGAATTTCCATCTGACAGGCCTGGGCTCATCCCGCCCTCGATGTGCCATTCCACGGCATTGTGCCCTTGAGCAAGTTATTAACTCCCTACCCACCACACACCAGTAAACACACACAGAACAATTTGTATTTACAGACTCATTGTGAGGACTAAACAATGACTGCAAAACACCTAGCAGCACGTCTGGCCCAGAGAGTTGCTCAATGCATGGCAGTTTTAACAACTGGCATTTATTGAGTACTTACTGTATGCTTGACATATGGTAAGGAAATGAATTTGTAATTTCCTACAAATAAACTCATTTAATCTTCACAACAACTCAGTGAGACTCAGATTGGCTTTAGCTTATTTAACAACTCAGGGAATGAGAGAGAAAAGTAAACTCATCCAAGGTCTCAGATACAGTGAGAGGCAGAATTAAGATGGGAGCCAGGCACTAGCCCAAAGCCTGGTCAATTGGCCGCTGTGCAAGTTTGCCTTCCACATGCAATGTTACTCTCCCGGAAGTGGGCTTGTGCCCAGCAAGGACAAATGCTTCCTGGTAGGCAATGGACGGTGGACAACAGGCAGTGGGAGTAACCCCAGCCGGTGTGGCCATGGGAACGGCCAGCTCTCCAAAGGGAGCAGGCTCTGTCCCGTCTGAGCGGCAGCCGTAGGAAAGGCCACAGATGAAGTGAGGCTCTGCCCTACTCCAGGGTTTCTGCCCACCACTGTGGTTTGGTGGCGCTCAGCTGTACTTACAGCAACCCATCCCAGTGTAAAGGGACCACGCAGGAGCACCAGTGCCTGGAAGCCTTCTGATTCCTGCGAAGCTCTTATAGATTATTTTCCAGGTGGGGACCATTGAGATGTTGAAAAAACTCACTGCTGAAACCCAACAACATGAAGTCATTTCGATATTCTTCCTGGAGTTCAGCTTTTCAAAGGAAGTAAGACAGAATGCGCTGCCACTTTTCCTTTGGCTTCCAAAAAGCCCGCACAAGTTGTATCAAATGATTTCCACTGACAGACAGGAAACAGCATCGCAAATTCAGAAGCTCTGTGGAGCCCAGAGCTACAGCCCCTTTTGGTTTGAGATTCCCCCCTCCTTGCCAAAAAAAAGCGCAAGGAAGGAATAGGGAATGAAACTGAATCCTTGCTTCACTGACGGTCCTAAGTTTAAGTAGTTTCAATTTGATTTTTTCTTGGTGACATTCTTTCCTAGTGGAACCATAGATCCAAACACCAATGACTGCATTAGAAGCCATTTCATGAAACAGATGAATCTCAAAGCACGCTGGGAAGGTCTTTTCGAGGACACAATATTTTAATTTTACTTTTCGTGGGGTTGCTCCAGTGTCTGTGGCAGGAGGAGGAGGCTGGTGGGGTAGGAACATGCAGGTGTTTGCCAGTGGTGCTCTAAGGAGATGAACTCTGCACACCCTCACCCTTTGTTTTTGTGTCATTGCCTTTGGATTTTCTCAATTATATCAAAGTGGATATTACAGAAAGACTTGCTCCGCACTGGGTAAAGAATGAGAACCCATAAAAAGGAGCCAGAGAGTGCAGTTACAAGGCTGAGCGTGCGGGCCTGCCTCAGAAGCAGTCTGCACTTCACACAGGATGGGTAGAGCGCGGGTATTTTTTTAGGCCAGGCTTCAAATGTCGCTTCCTTCTGTCCATCTGAATATCGCTGAGACAATGACAGCTTCGCCACTGTAAAAGCATCTTCTTTCACAATATGTCAGAATAACATTGGATGGAACTAAGATGAGGGAGGGTTTGTTTATTTTTTTCCTGGTTTTACAAAAGAAACAAATGCGGGTTCTGAGGGCCCAAATGACTTGTGGAGGAAGGGCTATGGCTGCTGTCTTTGGAATGTACATGTGTCAGGCCGCAGAGCCTTTTCCCCTATAAAGGTTTGTGTGGCAGGAACTGCAGACACACATTGTTTCGGGCACCAACTTGTTGCCTCCATACAGTCTGGGTTTGTTGGACTCTGCTGAGCTTTGGGGATATGCAGGTTGATCAGGAGGGCTGCAGTATGTCTATACACTGGAGTCATGGTGATAGAATTTAAATCCTTGGAGGTGCTTTAGAGGTTTACCCAGCCAGTTATCACAAATGAGGAAAATGAAACTCATACAATTTGACTCACTGACCCAAGCCCATGCCACTAATGCAGCAGACACTGGAACCCAGACCCGTCTCCAGTTTCCCCACCAAGGTACTTTTCTCTGTTGCTTACAGCCTAGCATTTTGGTTTATTTCTGTGGCTGTAATCTGTGGGCCAAACAAGTGATGAAGAGGACGCCAGAGACTGAATGACGGTGAGGGGCAGGGATTTGGGGTTGGTGAGACCTGAGCTTGCACTGCGTCTCACTTGTGAGGTGGCTGCAGCCAAGGACACGTTCAAAGAAAGAGGAGGGGGGTGCAGTGGGTTGTGCCAGCGACACCGCACCTTTCTCTCAAGACAGGGGAATTTATACTGGAAGTAGTGTGTGAAAGTCTCCTGCTTCCATTTCACGGGCCAGGTCAGGTGGTTTGTCCTTGGTTAGCTGGAAGAGAAAGGGACATATTTGGCCTCTCCAGTAGGAGGCAGTGAGGCCAGATTGAGTCCAGAGTTTCAGGGAGCAGGAAGGTGGGACCGAGGCCTCCACATGGCCTATAGGTTGGAACAGACTGTGCAGAGAAGCAGGAGAGCAATGAGAGGAGACTGGCTTGAGTCCTTCACCTGGTGTAACTCTCCCCTACCTGAGCGCTCTGCCTTCATTCCCCAGGGCCACCTGGGAAATAATAGTAAGAGTGTCTCTAAGAGCATGAAGAGATTTGGGAAAGAGAGAACCAGGTCATGGTTATTGAAAGTGCTTGAGTGAAATACAAAAGCTTTTCTAAAATGCAAAGTGGTTTTGCACCATCCCCCACATATCTCACCTTGGCGTCTCCTGCTCCTTAGGAACCAGGTAAGAGCGGTTCAGACTGCCCTTTCTTGGCTCACCAGACCCGTCACATTAGAAGGGATTGTGTTCTGTGGTTATGCTGGCTCACAGCTGCATTTCTGCTGCATTGCTCCACTCAAGGACCACATCCCAGCCTGGGGAGGCTCCTGGTGTCCCCACTTGACCCGGACATCCATCTCAGAGTCTTTCCTCTCTTTCCACCAACCTTGCCAAGCTCCAGGTATATTCACTTTACGAAGAGGTGAGTCAAGAGCCAGGCTCACTGACATGAAAGCCAGGGAAAGTTCAATGGAAGAAAACAAACTGTGTGAGAATTATTTCTTTGAGTTGCAGTTCCCTTTTGAGGCAAGCTGGGTTTGTGTTACAAAGACTCTGTCTGTGCCGCTGTTTGTTGACTCCGGGTTTCTAAAGCAGGATGGCTGTTTCACATGTTTGTTAAGTAAGAGCAGGGAAGGACACTCTCAAACCAGGAAGCAACCTCTCAATGATCTGTGAACTTCTGGGAAAGTCTGAGGAGTGGCAAGTTATCTAGGATTTTACAAGGCATTTTCTTCTTGAATCTTTCACTTTCTCATGTGAAAGTTTTTCTTGCTGTTATCTTTATGGAGAGGACAGGAATTGGTGTGGAAGTCTAGTCACCTCCCCTGGGGTCAGTGAGATTTTGCTGAATATATGTAATATTTAAAGATTTGCCTACAACTTGTATTATTTGTTCCTACCACCCTACCCACCTACTAGGATTCTTTGCAGACTGCATGTTCTGCATTTCTGAGGTTGCCATGGTGATAGAAACTCTAAGATCTTGGGCCATAAATCAGTACACTAAATATTTTCTTTTGTCTGGGGTGGGGGACTTCTCTGGGTCTGGAACATACCCACATACCAAATGTGGCTCAGTTTTCTTATGCAAAGAGTGGAATTGTCAACATTCAGATTACTCTGTACTCTGAAGATTCTCTGATGGGCAATTTCTGGGCAGCAAACACTTCCTGGCCCCAGCCCTAGGATCTCTGGCTGAAACTGTGGAAGGTCCTGAAAGCACATGGAGCACTGAGATAATTTCATTGCCCATGGAAAATACCTGTTTTTATTCCTTGTTACTGTCTTTGATGGTTTGATCAATCTCACATTCTGGTGGACTGAGCAACTTGGTTGAAAATAACAGTATGTAATGTAGCAACCATTGTTAATTCCTATCATTTTGTTTTGAGGTCATGTATCATTTTTGCTGTTTGTATGTTGTTTAAATTTTGTCTTCATTGTTGTTTTGTTAGTTTTTTATCTTTAAAATAGAAAAAAAGAAAATACCTGTTTAGGACCAAAGTGGAAAAGAAGCTGCCTGTGTCAGTCCTGTCTCACTGATTACTTAATCCATCTATCCATTTTATCCATCTAAAAGCCCTGATATAGTTCAGTTTTTTTAAATACTTTCACCTGTGTGACTGTTTCTGCCTCTGAGCTATAACGGGAGATCCCTTCTCAAAGGAATCAGAAGTGGAGACAGTAGTTTGGGTTTGATAGCTCATCTTCCTGTGGTGGTAGCAGAGGGTGACAAGGAGAAATCAAGCTGGGCCACAAGGAAAGTGGAAAAAGCCATTCAAGATGTTCATTACTGTGTGTGAAAAGTCAAGCTGATTCGTAGAAAGTTGCTTTGTTTGATCTATTTGAAGGGTATGTGGAATAGCCCCTTCATTCAAATGATACCCCCAAATAATTTCCATCCATGTGTGATGTGAAACAGATCTCTGCATGACGTGCTTCCTCAAAAAGGAAGAACAGTCCCTCCCACCCCAATCCCATTATGTAGATGAAGGCACTGAGTTTTAAGAAGGCACTTGTTTACCCAGAAGAACAGGAGCGGAAAGAACCACTTACATCATTTTAAGACATGACTGTTGTCCCCACTGGTGTCCTCCTGCCTGAATGGCGCATTGAGGAGGGGTAACACAGCTACACTGATCCTCTTGTGGGTGTTTTATTGAGTGGCCCAGGCCACACCGTTAAAATAGCAGAAGGGACATCTCTCCTTTCCATCTTTCCAGAATAAGTTCTTTCTGCTACACCCCACCCACAATGAACTATGTACCATTCTTCAAACATGGCCTTTTCTGAGCTGTTTTTGTGTCTTTGAGTATTTATTCTGTCTGGAATTCCCTCCCTCATTTCTTCCTTTCTGTGCGCCTACTCACTTACCCTTCTCCGCAGTCACCCTTCCAGGAAGCCTGTGTTGACGGCTTGGCCATTTTGCGATAGCTTAGGCTTCACTCCTTGTAGCTCATCACCTGAATGTCATCAACATCTGATCAGTGTCTTCATCTCCCCAGTCCTGCATGAGGACGGCAGCCTGGGCCTTTTATTCCACAGACTTGTGTCTCAACAGTGCTCGACAAGTACGGTATGCTCATCTAATTCATTACTGGGTGATCCATCCTAACACTCTCAGAGCTCAGACAGGGGACAACAGCTCTTGTCTTACAGAACCTTGTATTAACCCCTCTGGTGATGCCAAACTTCTGGAGGGAGATGTAAGGAGCTTGCTGAAACAAATCCAAGGTGCTGGGTTTACTAAAGAGACCTGAGTCTGCCAGAGCTTTATATTCAGATTCTATTCATGGCTGATTACCCATGTGTATCAGGCCCTCTCCATCTGCCATGCCAGAATGAAATAGGTGTTAATATCTTTGCTCTCTATTTGAGGAACTGAAGCAAAGAGAGATTATGAGCATGGCTCACAATCCCAGACCTCCACAAAACAGGAAAGCCAGAGTTAGATCTCTGTCAACTAAAGTTCAGGGTGGTGCTCTTGATCGCGAGTCATATTGACTCTAATACACTTGTCAGAGCATACATTTAAGAGCTATCGTGATGGTGGAGAGGGCTGGGTGAGGGAGGCTCCACTTAACCAGAACAGCCTTTTTATCTCTAGGCTTAAACTAAGGCTTGGAGGACACCTGGGCTAGTACTGCATACTCAGGTAATCCTTTTGGAAAGGTATCTATGAGCCTCCTGGAGCAGGAGATCTGCAGAATCTACAAACAGCAGTGTTGCTACTGAAGATTAGAAATGATGAGCTACACACACACACACACACACACACACACACACACACACACACACACACAGGAATCCACGCCCCCAAACTCCCCTGACCTTTTACTGAGGACGAGGCGATTGCTAAGGGTAAGTCCTATGTGGGGCCTGGTAAGATGCTGCAGTGACTCGAAAAGAACTCTAGTGAGAGCAAGCCCCAGGGGCCAAATGCTCACCTCCTGCCCTGGGTCACTCAGAGTTCTGGGCAGCAGTCTGAGGCTGAAGGGGAGAGGCTTCCAGCTGTTCCACATGAACCCAGGCAATGGTCAGAGTCTGTGATTTGTCTGGGTTTTGTAGCCCTTGAGGGCTGCATTGCTTGCTGCAGACCAAAGAGCTGCCGGGAGGCCTCCGAAATGCTGGAGAACAAAGAGGCAATAAACACACGCTGAAACCTTTTACCAACTGGCTCTGCCCCAAACCAAAATGAGAAATGAATTGCTGGGGCAAACACGTGTGTGTGTGTGTGTGTGTGTGTGTGTGTGTGTGTGTGTAAGTGTGCTAAATTGCTGGGAAAGAAAACCCTGTGTTAGATAGGAATGTTCAGTTTGGACCATTGAAAACTGTGAGCAAATGAATATAATAGCAAATTTAATTTCTACAGCTGGGTCTACTGAAAAAATTGACCCGACAGGCTGTGAAGCCTGGGCACCTCAAGTTTCACAAGTACAAGTGTTTGCTCAGTTTAAGAATGTTTGAGTAGGGTTGTTCATTCTGCTCCTGAGTGGAATCCTGGCATCATTTCATGGTCAGCATTTATTGAGCATCACTTATGAACTAGGCAAGTGGATCTGATCTTATGGATATTATCTATTATTTTAAAAACAGTGCTACTGGCTTGCTCTTCTTGTCCTCATTTTAAAGAGGAAGAAATTGGTGTTCACATTGCATAAGTCATTTGTTCCAAATCACACTGCTGGAATTTGAATTCAGGTCTTCCAGATTCTTAAAATCCATGCTATTTTTTGCAAATATTTATCATTACTAAAGCAGTCTCAGGTCAGATAAATGTTTATGTGAATACAACTATTTTCTGAATGCATTTTTAAATTTATGATTCTAAATTTTAATTAATGCATATTAGTTATGAAGAATAAGAATAGTAAGTTTCCTTTTGGCATTCTCACATATTGATACATTGAATTTTCACCAAGAATTTCAGGTGCATGTGATGTTATCCAAACACAAGTCCACAAGTCAGGGGTTCTATCCAATTTCTGGTGCTCAATTCCTTTTTCTGTATTCTCTTTGGTAAATAAATATGCTAATGCTCCCTTACCCTCTACGTATTAAGGCTCAGTGAATTCATGTCTATAAGTTGCTTCCAATATCCTAGGCACAAAATATTCATATAGTTTCTAATTGTTGTTTTGTTTATTAAATTTACTAACATTCACTGTTTAAGAAGACTGAGAAGATTAAACCAATAATCTTCAGAACAAATCTGTATTCTTTTCAGGATAAGTTCACTGGGCATAGAGATGTTAAAGGACTTGCCTCAACTCACATACTAGATTGTTCTCCAAGATTCGTGCTTGGTTCATTGTTAAGTCCTTCATTCCTTCAACTGATATTTGTTGGCTGGAATGTTTGGGTGCCAGCTACACACTCAGGCTGCAGCAGTGAACAAAGCCGTGGCAGGTCCCTGTGCCTGTGAGCTCAGTAGGGGGTGACTTCCAAAGTGTAGCTGTCATGTTTAGCACAACATCAATCCTTCTGAAGCTCCTGGCTGGAAAAGTCACATCTCCCACCTGGTAGCAAATGTGGGGCTTGACTTTAGTAAACTGGTTCCACAGAAATGGGATGTTGAATTGTTCTGTTTCACACCTTATGCACATACATATATATGAAGGGATGTTTGAGAGCCATGCTCTCCTTCAAGATGATGAAGCTATTGATCCTTGCTAATTGTTTCCTCTTTTACAAGGTAGAAACTGTCCGTTTCAAGGGTGGAGGCCAGCTCTAGGTGGGCACACCCTGGCGTGATTCTCCTGTGCACACTGCAGCCTGCTTGGCTCCTCCCAGATTCATGCTGCTGTGGTTTGAGTGCATTTAGTGAAAGAAGGGGACAGTGGGGAGAATCTCCAAGCACCCAAAGGCCCCTCTCCCTTTGATGTTAGCTCCAGACAGTTTTACAGTCATAACAATGCAGAC